CTGAATTTATTAAAGAAAATGTTCAGACAGCTGGAGTTGTGTTGGTGATTGTTAGACTAATCATCCGCTCAATTACTCTGGAATGTGAGGCTGAGCTTTTTGTTATGACTGATCAGCTTTCTCTCTTTAACACTTGCTTTTCATCTCTTTCTTCTGGACACTGACTTTGTTTGGCTGGCCAAACCATCTGTTTTCTATATCTGTCACCAGTTCTTGTTTCTTCAGCCTTTGGTTCAGTTCATATCGTTGCAAATCATCTGAGTTATATGTGTTTTATTTTGGTTGTTTTCATATATAGCAATGTAATAATTAAAACTTTCAAAAAGAAGACTGTTAATTGTGATATAATTAGACATAGTTGTGCAGTAAAGAGATTTTAAAAGCATTAGACTAGATTGACTGAATTGCACACAGTGACTTGCATTGCTCAGACCCATTGAACTTGTCTAACCTTTCATCGAAATTTAAACTCCAGACTAAGACACATTCACACATTCTATTGAGTTGGAAGGAAAGGGATACTAGGTCCCCTTTTCTTTTTTTTTCTTTTAAAAAATCTAAATGGACTTACATTAACTACATCATCATCAATTGAATCCTGTGCAGCCCACTGCCTTCAGAAGTAATTGAACCGTAATCAGTAGTTACATTCCACAGCTGTTTTGTGAAAGACCTCAGAGGTTTTCTAGAGAACATTGGTTTCCAAAAAACATGACAGAAAGTTCAGGGATATTGCGGCAGATGCTTAAATTTAGGGTTGAGTTTTGAACAATATGTTATTCTTTCAACTTATTTCATACAATAATTTAGCCGCTGACATCCACAGCTCAGGTGCAAGAATCTGTTGGCAGGACAGTTATTAGTGACTGACACATCAAAACACTCTGTATAGAAGATTGACACAATGAAAGCCAAAAGTATCAGTTTGCGAAAGCCATGTCTGGGACACAAAAAGTAATGTGGGAGAGGGAGGGTGGTATCATCAGATAAGGCCACTATTAAGCTTATACAAAACATTATGTGAGAGGAATAATAACCCAAAACGTCCTTCTGAACATACTGTACCATACCCCCAGTTTACAAGGTAAAAACAGCAACAAGTAATAGCAACAGTTTTCTGGGGTTGGGGATGAGAGGGTTAACAGATGCTGGGCTTAAGCAGCCCTGAACCCAACTGGTGTTTCATCATTGGACTCCTGTGTAAGTCATGGATTGTCCATGAATGAATATTCAAGAATAAGAATGTCCATCAGTGCACTTAGCACCAAGTCAGCTCCTTTGGCCTACAACTGTTTTTATTAAACCCTCAGGTGAAGAAAGGGGTGAAGATGTTCACTGATCTCCACATAGTGGTAAGTTGGATAGAGGAGGGTCCTAGCCTGTCAGGGTCCTAGCCTAGGGATGTATTCAACTCCCACTTCCCTGAGAGCTTCTCCCAGATGCTGTGGGGGGCTGGGGACATAGAGTCTAAATTGGCCATGTTCTGTCACTCTACTGTCGATGCAATTTTAGCACCTGTGGCTGTAAAGTCCGCTGTGCCGGTTGCAGCAACAACTTCCAACCCGGTGGTGAAGGTTGAAAGTAATGGTCAAGAGAGAGCTGCGCAAAAAGGCAAAGATCTCGATTTACCGTTTGGTGTATGGTCCTACCCTCAACTGTGGTCATGAAAATCTGGTTCATGACAGAGAATGGCTGAGATTAGCTTTCTCCACATGGTCGCTGGGCTCTCCCTTAGAGGTAGGGTGAAGAGCTTGGTCATACAGGAGATGCTTCTGTAAAGCTGGTTTTCCTTCACATTTTTTTGGATGCCCCCTTTATGCCTCCCTCATAGGCATCCCAGGCGCTTCCTACCGGAAGGAGGCCCAGGGGATAACTAGGATATACTGGAGGGACTATGTCTCTCAGTTGGCCAACAGAGCTATAGGAGATGTCTGGGCTTAGGGAAGTCTGGAAGTCTCTGCTGAGACCTGGATCCTCATAAAGTGATTGTATATCATATCATATTATATTATATTAGATTAGATTATGACTGAGACCTAGACAGTCTATATTGTCATTTTGTGTACACAGTGTATACAAAACAAAATATTGTTTTGTACAGCTTTCAAAATTTTTCCATTCTTTAAAGTGCACCAGTGATCAAATTTAAACAGTGTGGGAGAAAAAAATGGTAAAAAAAAAAAAAAATTTATTGATATGGAAGTTCAGAGCATTAAATATGTATGCTGTATGGATTGGTGTTATCAGTGTGATATAATTATATTACATTATATTATAATAATTATATTCTATATTAGGCAATAAGAAAAATATGATTTTAGATTTTTCTCATTAAATGATCAAACATGTATAAAATGTGGGTGGTTAGCAGCAGGAAAAAAAATTGGGAAAAAAAAACCTCTTTCCTGTTGTTGTAAAGAAATAAATACAGCTCTTTGACATATAAATTAAATGAGGGCTCCTGATGGAAAAGGCAATTATGTCAACAAGGAGATGAGGACCTAGAACCAGAAATTGGCTCTGTGGTTGTATGTCTCTCTTTTGTTAAGGTTCAGTGCAACACTGATGCAGGTGGTTGTGTATGCCTGAGCTTTAAATTGAGTTTTTCCAATCTAAGACTTCTTTTGGACTTGATTGCAAACAAGAAAAAAAAACTATATCTGTTTGGATGGAAATACTGGTTTGTCAGACTGCAAAGTACTTCAAAAATATAATATTGTTCCCTAAATCATAAGCCACTTAACCAATCATTTAAAAATGCTATGAGGAACTTTAGAATCAGCAAAAATGCTGACTACTTAATTTTACTGAAATGTTTCCCAAAACATGCAGTTTCCAAAATGTCTTATTACCCCTTGGTCATTTTTATAATTATGTGGATGCACTTTTATCTTAACTTCCAGTAGTGCATTTAATGAAGGTTTGTGTTTTCTTCCTGCTGTGGAAGTCCCTGTGGTGATTCTGCAAGGCTGCCAGTGGGATGCCTGTTAGCATGTTAGTGCACTACATGCAGATGCAGGGACTACAGGCTAATGCTAATGAGATGCCTGCCTGAAAACTGCAGCCTTTTATTTTACTCATGGAATGAGCCCAAACATTGGAGAAAAACAAAAAGTAGACCTACACACAATTTTGACAAATCTAAGTATCATGGAGTAAGAAATGTGATCTTTTTCTTTGTATTATAAATGTTTTTTTTTAAATAAAAATCTTGGATTATTGAAAGGATCTGCTTTCTTCTTTAAATGGAATCACATTTGTAAACGTAATAACTTTGTGGATTGGGCAGCTGAATATGTGGGTGCTGGCAGAGTGATGATCTAGGGCAGCAGAGGAGTAAAGAGGAATCCTATTTAATGCCAATGATGTTAGAGGCCATTAGTGGCGTCTAAAGAATGTTTTTCTTGTCTTTCCATTTGGCGACAATCAATAAAATAGGCAAGTTTACCGCATAGGAGGAAATGTGGCCTTGAAGACATCTGGGTTGTTGCAACATTTTTAGCTGCTCTCCTTTCAGTACCAACAACTTCAACCTTTCCAATTTCGGTTGTCTTCAGTCAGCACTTGTTGGAACTTTTGGTTAATTACAGGAGAAATTCTGCAGGTTAAACCTTCTGTCTTTTAGAATCTTGAAGACTTTTAAGAGGTTTAACAGCCTAACAGAGGATAGCTGTAAATAGGGCTGGTTCCATTAATGACGACTGACTGAAAATCATTGGAATAGAAAAGTTAGGATGGTAACCGTCCCAAACAAGTCATCTGCTGGTGTATCTACTGGATCCATCCTGTTGAGAGTTTCAAACCTCTGATTGAACAAAACTACCTCCACGTGCTTTCCATATAATTTACACAACTACTCACTAGTGTTGAACAATGCTGTAAAGTCTTTATTAGATGTATACTTTACTTACTTTTAAATTATTCACCAGTGCAAATTGAGTCATGGTTTTATTTGTCACTTTAACAAGCATGTCATTATGAAGCATATAGAAACAGTTTTAAAAAAGGAATTATTTTCCAAATTTTTAACTGTCCCTAAAATATGTCTTTGTCAATCTCATATTTTGTGATTTGAGAGAGTTAGAACAAGTTCTGTAAACGCTAATTGTTTTTACATCATATTAAGAATCAAAGAAAATTAGGTAACCAAAATAAAGTTAAAATCTAATTATATGTATATATGGGTTTTGAGTGACTTTTCCTTCACAGCATGAGGATTTGTTGATTCTCCATCTGGACATGCAGCTGCTGTGCTCCAGATTTAAAGTCCCACTGTTTAGTGGAAATGGAGAGTGAGATACGTGGGAGCTGAATGAGGCAGGAATGTTAGTGGGTTGGTTCTGCTGGTCATACCACCTGGTCAGGCCACTCATGGAGAAGGAAAACACACACAGTAGATGTTTTCCAGTCACACCATGAAACTTCACACTGATTTACCTTGAGGTGTTTTGACTTTGGAGCATTAGAGGTTTCCATCTTATTAAGGCTAAGATTTGTTTTAATGAAAGTATGCATGCATGCTATCATGAATAAACAGCATTGGTTGGATTTGAGAAGCTTAAAGATAATCTATTCACTGATGAGGAAGCCCCAATCAAAACGTCTACTTAGATCAACTGTTTTACACGACAAGAAGAATATTATCGATTTTTACACTTGTTAAATAAATACAAACATAATAATAAATATAAAAAACAAAATATGTTCACATGGTTTTAAGAAAAAATATCAGTTAAACTGCTCAAATTAACTTTTTTAATATTAGACTTTGCACGGTTGCATAAGATCTTAACATAACATTTCACATATAAGATGATGATAATTTTTGATTGAGAAGATTTTATTCAGAAATTGTTTTTGATGGAACATTTTCAACATTGCAGCACATTTTGAAACTTGAATGTCTTATTTCCTATTTCATATTAAGATAATACATTCAGTGCTTTTGGTTTTGGTGATATTTCAATTTACAGTATCAAGCAAACTCTTAACTAAAACAAACTGTAAAAACTTAGTTTAGCGGTCATGTCTCAACACATAAGTGATCTATTTCTGCGTCACAAACTTCCTGCCCAGACAGGAAATGCATTCTTCTGTGTCCAGTCTGGAAATGCATGTGGATGTTTTCAGCACAATAACTGCCTTAGGAATGTAGCAAACTGTTGTTGCTCCTGCAAGGGAGTTTGCAGCATTAAGCAGATTTGTTTTGGTCTAGTCTATCCAGGTTGTGATTTAAAATTTTCAGCTTTAAGGAATGGAAGAAATAGTTTGTGTCCTTTTTCTGTTTTTATTTAATTTAGTAATTCAAAGCAACAGTATTTACACTACACATTTCTGAAGGAAAATAAGCATAGAAGCCATTTAAGCAACAATTCTCTATACATCATTCAATACATAACACTTAAGCAAGGGAAAACAGTACACACAAACATACACACACTGCAAGCAATTTACAGTAATCAAACATTAACAATACAAAAATAACATGGATCATAATCGAGTTCTTTAAACAGAACTGCACTGTCTCACATTAAATGTAAAGAAAAGACATTTGCACCAACAGAAGATTTGTTTTTTTTCCTAAAGCTAGTAGTATTTTGCAATAGTCTGAGTGGTCGTGACAGGTCGCCAAAGAAACAATCAGACCAGTCCAAGCCTGAGTTCATCTCCATTTGGATTGTGAGGACAATTACATATTTGAAGCTGTTGCATATTCTTCATCTTCACTTTACATTACAGTGCTGGTGATGCAGCCATACTTTAAAAAAGCCACATTTTTAGTCCTTTTTTGGTGTGAGCAAATGGTCCGTCTTCTGTCCACATGTTAGAACCATATTGATGCCTTCACCTTGGACTGATCAATAGCTGTGAAGAAAATGAGAAAATGATCATTTAGAAAGATGTTTGAAACCATGACTGAATTGGGTCAATCTGAGATAGAGATCTTGATTTGTAAAGTATAAAGTTCTAAAGTTTGTAAAGAGCCCTTTTTTAAGCTTGTTACTGACTCTCAGCTGAGCAATAACTGGTTTCCTACATTAAAACAGGGCAAATCATCCATTGGTCAGTCATCCTAGAGAACAACTATTGTATGAGCCTGGAATGTACCATCTTCAATGTTTCTGTAAAAATCACAGTCTGAGTCAAAATCCAAAGGTCTACTCCACTCTGGGCAGTGGACTGACAAGTCAGCAAGTCTTACCAAAAAGGTTAAATTACAAGTGTTTTTCAGCTGAGAGAACTGTGGGAAGTATACTGTGAAGCACAATGTTAATGTTCATTAATAATGGCACTGTCCCCTCTCACTAAGAAAGGCCAAACTTAAAACTGTTATGAAGCCAAACTATCTTTTTAATTCTTCCTTAAAAAGTAACTGCTTTAAGCTACCTGAATCATATGCCTCCAAAGATCCATGGAGGGCTGGAGGGGTCCAGGTGACAGAAGCTGCAGAGACGGGGCTGTTGCTGCTGAGATCCATTTCTGTTTTACCTCCTTCACTGTGTGGGGAGCTACCAGTGCTTGTAGCAGCCTGACTTTGACTCCTAACACCTGGCAGCAGCAATGCATTGAATCTGGGATCCAAAGCTGGGCTGTGGGGTGGGTATGGATGAAGCATAGAGTGATGATGCCTTGCATGGATGTGGGGATGGGGCCGTGGGTGTGAGTGATAGACATCATGAACATTGGGGTAGCCACTTGTGCTCTGGGGACTCAGACTGTATGTCCAGCTATCAGAAAGGGAAGCTGGAGACGGTATGCTTGCTTGAGAAAGGACATGGCTGGCCCACAAGGCTCCATCCGGATGACTGAAGGAAACAGGGCTGGCGGGGAAATCTGGGTGAACGGAGACAGAAACCGATGGGAGACAGGAGTTGGCTTGAGGTGGGAAAGGGCTGCTCCAAGGCGAACTGCCCTGACCATCAGGATGGGAACCTCCATCTGAAACAAAGAAGGAAAAACGGTTTAAAAACAAATCAATAATGTTCTTCTTTTATGGTGGGTGAAAAGTTTCATATTCTTACCTTTCCATAGGTTATTAGAGGCCGCAGCAGTTGCCTGAGTCCCTCTAATAGGTTTGCTCTCAATACTAAAGGAGCTGGCCTGGCTAAGAGCACGGGAGAAATGCTCGTCCACCACGTCACCAATGTCCCCTTGAAAGTAGGTGAACAGTACACAACGGGAGCTCAAGTACTCTGCCTCAGCTGGTTGAGTACTGTCCTTTAAGTCCAATTCAGCTGGAGATCTACGACTTATTTCAGCAATTGTTGTTGCAGGACCCAATTGTAGACCCTGATTTCTCTGCATTATCCCTCTTCCTCCTCCTTGTGATGGCTGCTGCTGCTCCAAACACTCCTGCATCTTGTTGTATGTATTCAGCTTTTTCTGGAGGAGAAAACAGAAAATAGCAGAAATGATTAAACATGTGCTAGTAACAGTAATAGTTCCAGACCCTCATTTAGATTTGAAACTACAAACAGCTGCAATTTCACGTGGTCTGTGCAGCTGATATAAGCAGACAAACAAACCCAAATCTCTTCTAAAGAAAATTAGCAGTAATCATTAGCACCACCAATTAATCACTATGTCAATAAGTCAATTAGGGATTCAATCTTTCATTAGGAATCTGGCTGGGACTGGTCTGTGATATCGTGGGCTGGTCCTAATTTCAGTGTGCGAGAGTCGGCCCTCCTTAAATCATACACTCTCCGGCTGAAGCACCTACCTGTGACAGTAAATAACTCAAGGAGCTCAAGAAGTAATATAATGTTAACTATAAGATGGATGCAGTATATACAACCCTTCCTTGTTATGCACATCCTTGTGACGGTTGGCATATGGTGTAATTTTCTATTTCTTCAAACTGTAAAATCCTTACAACAAATTAAATTATAATAAAACTAAAATGCTTTCTTTAAAAGAAATTACAAAGTTCTTCTCATATTTGATGAATTTATCATCATATTTTGCAAAAATATGTTGCGGTGCATGATGGGTTTTTGCATCTAAAGGCTATAGTTTTCTGTCTTACGTTTATTGTTGCCAGGTTGGGATGTTTCTCAATCTGGCAGTTTAGAATGGCCGTCTATGGTTAAAAAATGTTTTTTCTGTTGGTCTAAGAGATCAACAGACTTTGGTTCAAATTGGGCAAGATTTCGTATATCCAGGCGGTTTATGAAAATTTTTTGGGCTGAAAAACGTGAGTCAGTGACATCTGGCAACCCTGCTGATATGATGAGCGTGGACGTTACGCAGCAGCAGTCACTGTCTCATCCGTGTTAATAACCAATGCCAGTAAAACCGCATTATAGAAGTCTTGGTGATGGTTGTCATGTGATTCTTGAAGATAGATGGGTTAATCCACAATGTGTATTCATATTGTGTTTCACATTTGAGACGCACGCCTTTGACTGTGTTCTATTTTTTTTTTTCGGGGGTTGGGGGGTTCTTAGTTGGGCGGTTTTGGTTGTTAAAATGTCAGAGCCGAAAATCTTTCTCAGTCCGAGCCTGTTAGGAATCTATGTGATATACAGCATTTCTAGATAAACCATCATTATTTTTAACATGAAAAAATATCTACATTTTTGTCACACCATTGTGTCTCATCTGTTATTATAATGTTTCCTACACAACAAACAGCATCTCCAGTGATATATTTTTTAGTTATCTGTGATCTACAGGAGTGACACTTCTTCTGAGAGGCTGAATTTTAACTTTAAATTACAAACTTTGTGTCCAATATTAGACAAATTAATACTATGACGACAATATATATTTACAATATACTGTGCAGCTACAACTTCCAGCCTGTGCTTATAACTTAAATAGCACCGACCTGTTACTTCTGCTGTTCCCTCCCACTGGAAGGCAGTTTTATATAAAGTTTGCATTGATTAAATAAGTTAAAGGAGGATTATAAATCATTAGCTCCATTTATTTATACATTGTCCTTTTTATGTTACATACCATTGAACTTTTATTTGTAGGCCATAAAGTTAGGAGAATTAAACTATTCTAAAATCATGGACACTAAAAATCTGCAGAGGTTAAAAAGGTGTTTTCTTTCAAATAAACAGATAAATAACTTTTAAAGTGGATAAGGTTTACTTTTTGAGTTCAACCACAGTAAAACATGAAAATGAAACTCCTGAGCTGGTCTTTGGTTTTAGTGCCCCCTCCTTCTAATAAACTAGTTGTTTAATAAAAGGTTAAATAAAAACAAAATAAAAGTCTGAAAATAGCTTTTCTTTTTTTCTTTTTTTTTATTACTTCACAAACTACATTCCAGCTATTTGTCACACTGTGGTCCACATTCCTGTGTGAGTGACTGGCTGTCATTACATCACTGTTTGACCGCAGGATTAATCGCTCGGTGTCATTACGCCTGACCTGAGGTGAATACTGAACCCTGGATTGGAATTTAATCCAGAACAAGTCAAATTAAAAGCGGCAGATATGAAGCTTCTGTCTGCATTAGTTGTTTAAAAAAATTATTACACTTGATTTTAATATTCGGTTATTACATAATCATTAACAACATTTTTGAAAAATATATAATCAATAATATAGGGGGAAAACTTTTTTCGAACCGCTGTCAGGAAAATAAAAGTTGTGCAATCAGCGTCTCACCTGTTGTTGCTGCTGATGGTGGTTATAGTATGACGCCTTGTACGCAGCTGCGGGGAGATAGTGCGCTCCATAGCTTTGGTGGTACATCACATCAAGGCAACTCATAGCGGAAAAGAAAACCACTTTCGAAAAAAGAGAGAAAGTCGCATGAAAGAGAGAAAAAAAAGCCGAGAGCAACTCTCCTTGAGACTTCAGACTGGCTGTGTCATCCAAGCCAGCAGCGGCTCCATATATGCCCCACAGCATACAATGGCCATGCCGTCCAGTTTGCATAGAAACAATGCGCCTCCCTGCTGCGCGCTCCACCAGCACCACCCGGGGCGATGAAATGAATCTAAGAGGTATAAGACTCACAGTATATCCGGAAAAATTCTTTCCTGACAACTTCCCAGATTGCTATTGACCGAATAGGAATTCGGCTGTGTCTTTTTCTCTCCTTCTGTTTTGAAGGGGAGTTATATTTAGAGAGGGCTGTGGCCATTACGCACGCCCACCGGGAAGGGCCCACGATAGACAAGCCCTGTCTGTTATATGGACACCGTTGGTTTCTTTTCAGAAAACTGAACAGGTGCTTCTCTTTAATAAGAATATTTCTAAGAAGTCAATTTATTTTTGCCAATTCAGATAATAAAGTACTGATTCGTGTTTATTTTTCTCTATTTATTGACATACAACATTATTTTTGTTTTATACTTGTGTAAACAAAATGACAAATAAATCTCTCTAAGTCTACAAATACTGAAAAGACAAGATTTAGTTTCTCTTTGCTTTTAGTGGCACTCATGGAACATTTTGTAATTTTGGATAACAGAGTAAATGGTAATATACGCCAACAACAAAAAGGTTAATTGTTCAAGCCTTCAACATTATGTAATTGGAAATTTCTCTAAAAGTGGGCAGTTTTCTTTCAGAAGCTCCAAGATTGTACAATAAACCACTGTTGGTGGTTATTTATTAATGTCGTAGCTACTATGTATAACTCTGAAAAACTTGGGATTGGCCTCTAACCCAACTGAAGCGCATAACAATTTGTTTCTCTGTGTTTTGTAGCCTACAGTGGAAACTGTTTGAACACATTTAGACAATTAAGTGTCACAATATTATTATTAAAGATCGGATGACATTCAATTAATTAAAAGCACATACACACGGCAGTGACTGGATTTAAATTGGAAACATCAAAATGTCCAACTTAAACCCATCTGTTCATTCCTTTCCTAATTAAATGAGTTTTTTACATTTTGTCTCAGCAACATTTGGTTGTTTGACATCTCCCATCAAAATATAAATGTAAGCCTTGTATCACAATTTTATTAATCTTTCAATAAATGAGTATTTGGTAGACAAGATGTTTGCTGAAGGTGAGATGATTGTACAGTACCGTAATACATTTCTGACATTTTTGAGCAGTCACTTAAGCATTTCACGTGGTGGGGAAAAAAACCCAAAGTTCATTGCTAAAGAAACCTGTTGATTGTACGGTGCTGTATCCAAAAATATTAATAGGAAATTTTATTGGAAGGGAAAAGAGCACTGCAAATCTAGAAAGAAGTGAAAATGTCTTAAATGAAGTGTATTTACCTTTAATTTGAGTAGGTTAATAAGATGATTTGCAAATACAATGAGTATTTTTGCTCTTAAAATAGGATAATTAAATAATATGCACTTAAAATAAGACAATCCAATTGGTTTTTATTATTTTAAATAAAAAATTGGCTTGTTCCATTGGCAAGTGTCTGACTAACCTCCTCAATTCAAGAAAAATGCACTTTAAAAAAAAAAATACTTATTTAGATTTCCATTTCTTGCTGTGTGTCATAAAGACATCATCATCATGGTGCTTATGCATCAACCCTTTATATGGGCTGATCTTTTTTCTGCTCTAAACCAATCAGTACTTTAGCCTCGCCTTGTAAACAAGCATTAAATGGTAAATGGCCTGTACTTATATAGCGCTTTTTCAAGTCAGGAGACTTTATACTACATTCAGTCATTCACCCATTCACACACACACACACACTCACAGTGGCAAGCTACATTGTAGCCACAGCTGCCCTGGGGCTCACTGACAGAAGAGAGGCAGTCGTACACTGGCACCACCAGGCCCTCTGACCATCAGTAGAATGCTGGTGAAATGTCTTGCCCAAGGAAACAACGACACTGAAAGTCAGAGCCGGGGCTTGAACCGTCAACCCTTCGATTTCAGGGCAAACTCCTACATCCGACGCCACTGTCGCCCTAGCTTTGTTTCAGGATACTTTTTTCTGCTTTTCTCTTTAATCTTTTTTTTTTAGATTAAAACAAACAAATAAAAAAAAAAACAACTTAAAACAAACAAACAAATAAAAAACAAGGGGATGTCATTATATTATAAAGTTGTCTGCCTTTCTTTATTTTGTACCCAACCGAGCCGACCGCTCGAGTGAATTAAACCTTCAGTGGGGACATCTATCTGCTCTCTCTCTCCACTCCCTTTTAATTACCACTTTCCTTTTTCCTTTGTCTTACTGTCCTCAGTTGTGTCCCTTTCATACCTCATTAAACCAGCCATTTCATCTCTCTCTTCTATTTCCCCACTTTTCTGACCAACCAGAACCTCCTATTCAACCCGTTTGACCATCCCAGTGTCCAGTAGAAGGCCCGGTCACAGAAAGAGCAGAACTCCATAATCTGTTTGCTGAATGGAAGTGGGCATCCAACCCTCCAACAAAACATTTTGTAATAATCTATGAAAACTTGCTGCACAGTGGACCAGTGGGTAGCACTGCTGCCTTGCAGTGAGAAGGTTCTGGGTCTGATTCCCGGCCCGGGGTCCTTCTGCATGTAGGTTGCATGTTCTCCCTGAGCATGCCTGGGTTCTCTCCGGGTACTCCGGCTTCCTCCAACAGTCCAGAAACATGAATATTAAGTTAATTGGCTTCTCTAAACTCACCTTAGTACATGAATGGTTGTTCATCCTGCGTGTCTCTCCAGGGTGACCTTTCCAGGGTGTACCCCACCTCTCGCCCATTGACAGCTGGAGATAGGCACCAGCACCCCTCGCAACCCCAACAGCAATATACGTGATGGATAAATGAATGGATGGATGAACTATGAAAACCTTTCTCTTGGTCAGCTTTCTGTTATTTGGTCTAAATAAACAAACTTAGTTTATAACATAACCAAGGGTAGCAAAGCCTTTTCAAGACCTCTAAGGTTTGGAGTCTGGCTGGAGTCAATATTTAAGTTTCTAAATATCCAGGATGTCTTTTTAATCCTGTGATACCCTGAAGTCAGGGTCAGGATCTGAGCATGGAATGCTCGAACTGTCTCATCACTGAAATATTTTAGAATAAAATTAGACCAAAGTTTCTTACAGAAAAATGTATGCTGACATCTTATCATCTCACCCAAATTAGAGTTTTCTGAGCACTGATTTCATTTCAAAAGAATCATTGGAGTAACAAAGATATCATTCACTTGTGCATTGATATTTTTTTATATCACAGAACAAACAATGACAAACATTGTATTACAATTAAACATTGAATTAAAAAGCTGAATCTTTTTTCTTAATTTTTCATTTAGCTTTAATGTTTCATTTAAGCTTTAAATTTCTTTAATGTGTCTTTCAAATACCATTTTACAGAGCAAAAACTTCTGTAAGCCTTGGTTTTTGTGGAAGGGGAGAATATCATTCTTGGCAGCAAGGTCTAAAAATA